CAAAAATTTCCAGATCGTCCTCATTATCATCAGAAAGTGAAATAATCTCTGAAGTTTGTGACGGTAAAAAGATTACTGAGTCCCATGTCATCTGAGAATTGTAATTTTCAGTCATCATCATTTCCGCAGTAGATTGATTCTCGTATTCCGTTGATAATATTGATGATAATGATGGTGATATGCTATTGTTGTTCCTTGGTTCCATGCTAATTTTTCTATTTTTATTTAAAGTAATTAACTCACTTTTAATGGTTTGCTGGTTTTAGTATTTTTGAAAGTAACTAAGGAGAAAACTCTGCTTATATAGGATAGAAATGTTGGTGAACTTACCTTCAAGCGTTATCTGTAAAATTCATCTGTCTTTTATTTTTCTCTATAAATACTTTGAAGTGTGGTCATAAATACCGTTTGACCTTTTTCTTTTTATCATTTATAATGCACCATAATACTAGTTCTTTTTCCATTCTCAGCGGGGTATTTATACGAATGGAAATAGTGATAATAAAAAATAGAAATGAGGAAGGATCATGAGACGTGTAAGTGTTCTGAAATGCGATATGGTGAAATAGTCGCATCACCCAGAGTGCACTTAATTTTTTTCTTCGTGGAAATTTGTGTAGACATGTGTATGGACGACCGTGTCCCTTTTTTTATATATATTTTTTTTTTGTTATCGGAATCGTAAATAATGTACGTCCTTGAAAGAATCCTTTTTGGTTTGGTAATTAAGATGTGTGTAATGAAGAGATGTGTTCGTGGGAATTTATGTAGAGGCATGCATGCACGATCGTGGTTCCTTTGTGATATTTTGTTTATTGTCGGAATCGTAAGTAATGTGTGTTATTGAATAAATCGTGTTTTGGTTTGGTCATTAAGATGCGTGTAATGAAGAGAAGTGTTTGTGTGAATCTATGTAGACATGTGCATGCACGATCGTGTTGCTTTGTTCATGTACTTTTGTGAAGGGAATCATAAATAAAGCATGTAGAGGATTGGTTTTTCGTTTGTGTAGGAGAATGTGTGTAATGGAGGTAAGTTTTATGGGAGATAAGTGTTTGTTAGCGTCATATGAGGGAGTGTAATTGGAGAGGGAGGGACATAATGAAATGTGATCGTTGGCGTTGGAGTCCGTCTTGTGAGGGTAAGTGGAGTGTCATGTCGAATGTGTAGTAGACGTGAGGGATGCTGTTGTGTGTGTGCGTGTGTGTGCATCCTAGCATGTGCGGCGTTTTGAGCGGGGAAGTGTGCGGACATGAGTCCCCCATATATATACTACTATACGGAAAGGCCGAAAAAAAAAAAAAGTTTCTTTTTTATTGCGGGCTGAAATTCGCGTCGACGTTCCCCCATATATATACTACTCACACAGACATTATACAGGCAGACTGACGGACGGACGTGCTTAAATCGAATTATTATTTGATGCTGATCAAGAATATATGTACTTCATTGAGTCCTAGGGGCTGCACACATTTTGTCAAAATGAAAATATGTTTCATCCCTCGGTGATGGATAAAAAAAAGAACGAGTTGGTCTGTTTCAAGTTGAAAGTAGTAATAAAATAAGTTCGTAAGTACTCTGGATATGACAATATGTGTGCGTGATGTTTAGAAATAAATATTTAAAGAATTTATTTACACATTTACGGGTATTGTACGGTGTAATATTAGGTTTCAACTTTCCAATCTTGTTGCAATTCTTCTTTTATAAATAATGTAACCGTGCATTGACAGGATTGTTAAGCTCTCGCCGGGGAACGAGTTTATTGGTGGGAGATGTTTTGACGCCATTTTTGTTGGTTTTTGGCTGGACTAAACATTTGTTACGGGGGAAAAGGAAAACCGCTTTAAAAAGCATGGAAGAAAAAAAAGGAAGTTTTTGGGTTTAAGAAAAAGAAAGAAAAACTTTGATTTAAAGAAAATGAAAATCGAAAGTATCATAGTTTTGACGTCCGCCAGGAAGACAAAAAAAATTCATTTGAAAATAGAAAAGAAACAAAAACATACAAAATAAAGAAAAGCAGCAGATGTAGTGAATGAGTCTATGAATATGCAACAATGCCATTGAAAGTTACATTAAGCGCAAAGAACGTCTAACAAAAATAAAAAGATTATTGAAAAATGATAACTAAACTGAGAAATTTAAATATGCAAATAAAACTACTTAAAATAAATATCGCCAAGTAGTCCTGAGAAAAGAAAACAACGCTGAATGCGTCTACGATGAATAAAACACCGTGATTTTAAGATTAAAGAATGATTACTTAGGACGATTAACATTTTGTTTGACACTTTTATAATATCAAATTATTAATTATTAATATTTTATTTGGCGTTGATGTTGTGTTGGACATAAAGTTTATAACAATAAGAAAGTTTAGAAAATATTGGCATATGCGCGAATAATAAGAGAATTAATATACCAGATTAATTATCGGAGAAAGAAAGCAAGTCGTAACATGCAGGGTGCTGGGTATTGGAATTCTCTCTCAAGAGGCACATAGGATCCCCGTCCGATGGTTAGGGTTTCGTCTACCTGCATATTCAATGGGCAAGTACGCGCAATTTCTTTTGGTTGTAACCGTCGTGGGACTGCTCGTGAGCAAAAATATAGAACCCCTCCGACATTTCACGAACTAGTTACCTCAGCTATGGTACGTACGCAAGGTTCGTAAGTTGCCTTACAATTTATTTAGATAAGCGCTTTAGATGCAAGAGGATAGATACACTTATTACTACATTGGTTAAATAAGTATGGTATAATGGCGTGATTACGTAAAACGAAATCTGACAGACATAGACATGTCTGGTTACACAAAAGTGGCTCACCAACCTGGTCCCCAGCACGTAATATGGTTGCAACGGGTATTAAAATGCCCCAGTAGAGTCCTTCTTCGTTTTTGCCTTCGAATCTTGATCCTCCTGTTTCGTCTACTCAATATTCATTACTAATTACTGACAATACTGATTAACTTTACTTAACAGTATTTCACTTACCCTTCAGATATATAAACTTTTTACTTCAAAAGACAAACAACCCTGAATGCTCCCTCGTAAATAAACCAACATTGTAGGCAATATGGTATCGTGTGTTGACTACAACCTACATATTACACTCATGTTCTAAGTATCATCACTGATACATCAGTAACCGAATGTTTCGGCCAACGACAGTAAAACCGTTTTTATCACCCTTTACTAAGTTTTTAATACTATGACGTTTAACCATAAATTTCGAAACAACAAATTACATGATATATTTGTCCTCTGCGCCAGAATAAGACTCAAGGAATTTTTATTATAACAGCAGAATATAATGCACAGTATAAAAGAGAGTAAATCTAAAAATTAAAAAAAAAAAACAGAAAAGAAATAAATGTTTACAAAAAATTCTAACAATTTCATGCAGTGTTGCGGAAGGTAAACAAAGAGAGGAGTATAAAAAACTTTATGTACTTTATATCCATCACCACTCGTTTTGTCAAAACGTTTGTAATGCCCACAAAGAGGCTTCAGATACCTCGCAAGGTATATATGTCCTTGATAAGTGTAAATTCTAAATCGATTTAAGCATGTTCATCTAAGCAGTGTCTGTTGTACACACTCTCCTAGTCCAAAAATGAAACTATCGACTTAAAATTTGGCAAAAACATCCGAAGCTTCTTCTTGCTGCTTCTTGCACGCATCTTAATATTGTAAATGGGTCGAAGAACTCGTCTACGATCCCATGTAAACTGAGAACACCTTTTTTTTTCACAAGGAGTAAAAAATTGGTTTTTTGCTGCGGTGGATAAAGCTACAAAAATTTGGACACATTCTATGCGATGATGTAATACGTCTACAAATATGAAAAAAATTGGTCACGCCTGCTATAATGTATCATAATTTAATCTTTTTTTTTTCAAAACGTTTAAACAGCGCAAAGTATACTTCAAAAACCACATAAAGTTTGCTAATTCTTGGCCAGCTTTAAATTCGGTATGCCCGAAGGCATGCCCGTCCGTTCAACTATCCACCTGTCCGTCTGCGTAATTCTGTAGCATCTGCGAAAAACATTCTTCCGTTCGCAAAAATGAAGATATTGCCTAGAAGCTTGTAAAGGACTTTAAAAAGAGAACAAACTTTTAAAAGAATATGTCTACAAAGCCCAAACGTCTATAAAACAAAAATTGTGAACACCTTCGCTTTCCGTGTTTTTTGCTTGTTACTTATAAAGTAAAATAGAAAAACTCAGCCGGGTTCATCTAGTGGTAATGAGTAGGAAAATTTAGTTCTTTTCCTTTTTTTAGGATCACAGTGAGGGGTATAAAAGATTCGGTGACGGTCGAATATAATTTTCATTATTTATTCATTAAGTGCTGTAGAATAGGGTCTAAAAGAGTGCTAATTGACTTAAAGGATAAGAATTATTTTGAAGTATTGTTTTGAAATAGAAACTTCGAAAAAAAATGACTAAAACGCTGACGGCAGTTTGTAAGTATGTTAATAACCGATATATTTTCAGAATTGACGAGCTTCTATTTTACTTTTCAGTTTTCACAATCTTTGATGTGATTTAAGCTGTGCAATTTTTAGAGAGTTAAAAACTTATTTCACAAAATAGCTATGAAAAAGACTGATAATAAAATAATTATATGAATAGCACTATGATATGTATAACTATAATGGTAATAGTCATTTTAAATGAAATCTTGCGGACAGAAGGGACTAATATATATATTTTTTAAACGTGGTAATGTAAGTGGACTGTAGCTCAAAGACATGTAAAGCAATGTTTCGGGTTTTTTCTCATTTCGCTAATTGTTCGAAGTATTTTGCTTTGCAATAAGTTTTGTACCGGAACTTTTCATTGTGCCTTTAGGCGAAGCACTTTTTGTATCTGAGCTTTCGCAATCTTTTACAATTTCTTAAATTTAGAACATGCGCACTATAGTATATTTTCTGTTATTAAAACGTTTTAACGTAGTAGTATATTTGTAGTGGAATAAGTACATATGTGATTAAATTAAAAAAAAATTTTCAGTTCGCTTGTAATCCCAATAAACGCAAAAGAAAAATATTTAACAATGAAACAATGAGTACAGGAAATAATATCAAATTGCAACTATTTTATAATCGTATATTTTTAAGGTAAAAGATATAATAACAATGTAAAGTGACAATCGATTCCATTTCCGATTTTTTTATGGCTTTGTTACATGTTCATTGACAACTTGGTAAAATATTTTGTAGTTAGTATAAGAACTTCGAAACCATTCAAATATGTGCGGTTACATATATGCACGATCTTTAATATCTTGCGACGTGAGATTGGACAGTGTAGAAAATTGGAACGTTGGTGCCTATATGATAGGGTAATTTTGATTCAGTTTATTTAAATAATTCGAATAAGACTATCAAAGTGATAACCATTTTCATATTAACCTATAAAAGTATATCAGAAGACCAAAACCATATAATAAAACTCTATTTGGCTTAGCGTGAAGAAAATCGGTTGAGAATATTATTAATTTAAAGTTGCAGTCTTCTATATATATGTCAGTCACATATCACATAATATGTGGTAGGTTATGGAAGTTAACGTACAGAGGCCTATAAGTTTCAGACAAATGTCACAGTTATCTAGACGTATCTAACATTTGGTTCAATTCTTCTCAAGCATTTGTTTGTATTCATTTTAAAGTCATAAAACAAGTACCACAAAAATATTACATTATTGAGCAAATTGTCAATTTTCGACCCTAGATGTAATTTTTCAAACGCTTTTGGTTTTCCACAACTAAAATTACTGTTTCTTCAAAACAATTCGAGTGTACAATTGAAAAGTTCATGCTCTCATCGCTCTGCCTAAAGTGTTCTTTCTTAGGCGTACCTAAGCGGGCACGATGCTGGGCTTGAACTGAGCCATCCAGTTCTACAGGTAATACTTGTACTGTGTCGAAAAATTCCTTTTCTCGCTGTAGTATTCTCTATTAAAGTCATTAAAGAGTTAAGCATGAAGCCGTGTTTAAGTGGTTTTTTGCTTTCTTAAAATATGCGTGGTCTCAACAGCAACTTAAGCAGGACACTTCCGGACTCTACTGAATTTGGCTATGATACTTTCTCCTTCATTGAAAAGTGGCTTAAATTGTATGTCAACAACTCTGAATATTTTTCAATACAATTCCGGTGTTTGGGCATGGCAAACTTCACTCAAAAGGAGATGTGCCCATTGCTCTTCTTAATGCTGTACCATCCCATGTTTTACTTATACCCACTAGTCGTGAATTTGAATTCATATGCGTCAAAGTGAACATTAACTGTAGAAGTCTTTATATTTCTTGTGCGATGTTTCTGATTCCACAGATAACTTTTTGGTATTGTGGGATTTTAACGTACCCAGTGGCGTTTGGACATGGTTGATGATCAGATCTATCTCTATGCTATCTCTAATGCGTCCATACATGAGAGCTTTCTTCGTGTTTTATTTGACCTTGGTTGCTACCAGTTCAACAATATCCGCGATTCTAATGGCGGTATCTTGGACCTTGTGTTTTACTAGTGTCAACAGCATAGACATTAGCATTCTTCGTGCAGATCATCCTGTATTGCCCGAATATCCATTTCATCCAACTAATCTGTTATCGTTGAAGGAGCTGTTTTATAGGGAAGTAAAGGTGGGCAGTGGTTTTCCTAAGCAGCTGAACTTTAATAAGGTAAACTACAGTATGCTCAATGGTATACTTGATGACTGTAATTGGCTTCTCTACGGTAAGCATATTAAAATCCGTCTCTCCGCTATGTATAATAATTTGCGGTCTGTCATTAATAGGTCCGTGCCATTAAAATTAATATATGTTCATAAGCCCACGCGTCTCCGGTGGTTCAGTAACGAAAAAAGAGTTTTTTTCAAAAATGCAAGCGGATACACTTGATTACATAAAGTACTGAAGTTCAAGACGTGCATTCAATCCTTTAAAACGTTTATACGATTCAAAGTATTTACAAGATACTAAGGGTAAATTGTTTCCTGATGCTAAGAGCTTCTACAAGTAAATGTTGAAAGGAAGATGATAAGGTTTCAAACTCTTATGCGCTCTGCGAATTGTGATTCGTCTGATGGCGACGTTATTGCCAATTTTTTTTCTGCAGAGTTTCTTGAAAAGTCATATAGAGGAAGTAATGTATGCATAGGTAACTATCCGTATGAAATTAAACAATGGAATGTTTTTATCCTAGCAAAGAGGAGGTCCTCAATACAATGATAAATCTAAAGACCCTCAGCGCACTTAAATATTGCGCCCCCTGCACTTACAAATGAGACATTACAAAGACCTTGCAGATGACTACAGAGGTAAAGCCGAACTCAGTTCTACACCGAAGCTATTTGAAGGGTTGGTTACTACAAGACTTATTTCGTCAATTCATGTGGTTATAATTCCTGTGCAACTGCATTTACACATGAAACTCAAGTAAAATAAACAATAGCCGAATTCAATTAACTCTTGCAAGTATATTTTATACTAATTACTATTAACAACTAAAATGAAGTATGTAAGGAGAAGTAAAAAAAAAAAATTAAATAGTATTTCATCTATAAATAATTAAGAAATTAGAAAAAACACGCACGCAACCAGCGCAGAGGTGCACCCACAAACAGTACAGAACCAAGTTACAACTGAACCACTAAGATATCGCAAACGCTTGGCAACCGATACAGTAACCACACCAGTTAATTTTTGAATCATGTGAGATGTTAAGACTGCAAATTACTTCAAGTACGACATAGGCAAATCGCACGTATTAAGCAAAATTGCTTAAATGACTTTATTTCGATATTGAGATTAAGTGATAGACATAATTTAAGTTTCTACAAAGAGCTCTGAACGGATTAAACTGATTATAATTATATTTACATACACTCAGTTTAATGAAAAGAGAAGTGGTTAGGGACATTATAGCTTTTCTCACCAAGTAATATGGGCAAATCGATAGTACCTTTAATTAACTTAATTAGGAAGGAAATACGAAGAGTGAATCTACGTTTCTCAAGCGACGAGAAGTATAACAGAAGGAACCTATTTTCATAAGGAGACAGAGAGACAAGCGGGTCCAAATTCAAATTCCAAAAGGGCAAACAGCAAGAATTGCTTTTAAACGGACTCAATTGAATGCACATAACACTTATAAGAAGCAGACTACAGAATCAAGGTATACTCAATTGGTCTAACTAATTACATGTATACCTTTTTTATAATGTAAGGATCCTTCAGCTCTTTGGACCATCTCTTAATGAAACCAAGCGCGGACCTAGCTTTATTTAAAGAGAGCTTAATGTGCAAATTAAAACGTGATCTTTGATCGAATAGAACCCCTAAGTCGATGAACAAATCAACGTTTTCCGACTTGTGCAAATCAATAAAATATTCAATATTGAATCACTTCCTTTTTAAGAAAGAAAGCTTGTTGCATTTTCAGAGCGAGGTTGCTTAATCGGAACGGATGCGAAAATAGCTACGTTTATTACATTATAGAACGATGATAGCAAGGTTTCAATATTGTTGAAGTGATTACCATAAAACCAGAAATATAATTGCAACAATAAGTGACTTCTGGAAAATTGAAGTCGCCCGACGCTATAACTATATCGGCAGGTTTAGACTTTTTGGCCACGTTTTATGACAGAGCAGCACGTTTCTTATAAACAAAGGAATCCGCAGTTGGGGGAATATAGGGACAAATTACAAATAATTGTTTACTGTCAATTCTCGCAATTTCATCGTCGGGGAAGTAGGAAATTCAAATGAGTAGAACGGGACTGCAGCAGATATGCAATCGATGCTTTCTGAAAAGATGGAAAGAAATGTGAAAAGGTTCCGACGAAAGTAAATCAAGCTTTAATCACATTTCAATGAAATCTAAACAGGAAAACTCCTATTGCTTGACTGAATTTAGGAAAGCCAAGCGAATTTTTGAATTTAGTTCGCTAACATTGTGATAAACAAATGTTACTGGGTCTGAAGAAACATTCAGTTTTTTGAGCGTGGAAGAAATTCCGAACTAATATTACGGGGCCGATCTCAAGGAATGAATTCCTTAATTAACCCAATGGTTTGTTTAACAAAATTTCCATGTTTTCAATCAGAACTAACTGTTTAGTAGTCGTGAGAGCTCTAGATTGAGATAGATCCAATTTGAAAATGTTTACACGTTTCAAATTGACGAATGGGATTTTTGCAGCCGGAAAACTTTTTATATTATCCTCAGAGGTGTAAGGCGCCAGTCTTGATATGAGGAGTGTCGATTGAAGATGTCGTCCCTATTAGCAACAATAGTATTCGCAGTTAGAGAGTTTTGAGTTGACGAGAACGTAGAGGGGTGACCACATTTGCACCTGCAGCTTGTGCGATTCGCCCAGCACGGTGACCAGCGGACACACCCGAACAGCTAAGGGGAGAGGAGAATTTGTTATTTTTATTAATATTCTTTGGAGATGTAGACAGAAGTGCCTGAATATCACCACTGTGAGAAGATACCCTTGCCACTTTGGCGTAACTGGAACGAGGAGGGCTTCCGGCTTATTTTTAAGTTCAGTAGTACCACGTGTTTCAACGATAGACGAAACGTTAGCATTTTTTGCAGGCTAGGACGGAACACTCGAATTAGTTGACGAATGATTTTTTCAAACTTTTCGTACAATGTCACGAGATTTTTACTTAATTCTTAAAATCCATTCCGTGAAAAGCTTATAAGTCAATCTTCTGCTTCCTACAGTCGGGAAATGATCGACGTCATCCTTTCGAAGGATCAAGAGTGGCATCTGCAGCATGGCCACCGATACCTCCACACTTCGTGTGACAAAAACGTTCGCAAAGTCAACAATTAATGAATCGCCCAGAATCAGGGCCTGGTTTTGTTCGATGTGATGTAAACGAACATTGTGAAAAAAAAAGCAAAAAAGTTCTCTCTTTAATTAAATGCAAATTTCGCACCATTATAAACACAGCAAACCCAGAGAAAAACTGCCGCAAACCAATATAGATGTTTGAAACCAAGAACAAACAAAAAATGAAAAAAGGACTTTTTGAAGGGAGCAACAAATGCTGATTGCAAAAACCAAAATGACTATTAACACAACAAGTTCGATAAATTTAAATACTTTTATACCCGCCTGAGTGGCCGAGTACTCAAGAGTCTCGACTAACAACTCTCAATGGTCGTGGTTCAAACCTTAAGTACGGTAGAGTTTTTAACAAAAGCCAAAAGTCTTAAATGCTAGTGCTTTAAGACTTTATTCTAGAGTTTAGAATTTACTCTCTAGCTAAATGTATAATAATAATAATTATAATAATAATAAAAACTTTTATAATTAATTAGACTGTAAAAGCGTATAACGCAATAAAGCAATAAAAAAAAAATTATAAATTTCCCCGCATAAAGTAAAACTGCGCGACCACAGCGCGTGCGCGGAGGTGCCAAACATAATAATTCTACCTCCTTGAGTTAATCTGTCACATTTATCAAGATTTTGCTGACCCTAAATGAATAGGTGTTGTCTACAAAAATCTACTGAAAGCATTTGACAGTAATTATCACTCTCTTCTCCTCAATAAATTCAACAGCGAATTTGTACTGTATAATGTAGTAATTTTACAGAATCTCTGGCGTTTCTTAGGGAAGTCATTTGGGTGCAATTCTTTTTCAATTTATTTATGAATGATTACTGACGTGTGTTAAACACTCGCACATCCTAATATCAAGAGATGATGTGAAGATTTTCCGCCCGGTTATTCAGCTGAAAATGTTAGACTACTACAGTTGAACTTAAACGAATTGTACGGCTGGCAGACTAATGGCATGTCACTCAATTTAAATAAATGTAGTAAGCTTTCGTTTGCTTGATGTAACCAATTCGCATTCGTTATGTATACTTAGTTAACGTGCAATTCTTTAGTGACCTTGATCGGTGGATCCCAAATTGCGATTTCACCTTCATATTTAGACCTGCGTTAACAAGGCGAAGTCGCTATTGGGCTTTATGAAAAGTTGGGCTAAGATATTTAACGAACTGTAGATTGATAAACGCCTATTTACCTCGTTTGTGAGACCTGTATTAAAATAGTCGATTATGGTATGGTTACCTACTCGCAAGTTACACGCCTACTTAACAGAGCCGATTCGAAAAGAATTTTTATTATTTGCTATCAAACTTAGCTATTAGTTATTTAATTATATTAATAGAATAATTAATTAATTGATAATTCATTAATAATAATATACTATTTAATTATTTATTCGCATATAAATATTTGTAGTGTTTTAAAATATAATCATTTTTTTCCTTTTTTGGGGTTCAGGGTATTGTTGTTAAAAGCTTTTACAGATTATTCCCCCCTGGTCTTAGCTAGATACGGGTAACATTAAATCCTTTTTTTGGTTTTTTTCTTCTCCTTACCTTGATATTGATTGAATTTTTTAATGTAGCAAACAATCTTAAACTAAATAAATAAAACCATATTCTCCCTTGAACTTTTTTACAATTCTTTCCAGGTTTTCAGAAATGATCGATTGGATCGCATTGGTGGTGATGTATTAATTGCCATATCTCCGTCATTTCCGTCCAAATCAATTGAATTTCCTACTACTCTTGACGTTGAGTTTATCGCCATTTGAGTGAAAATGCCTAATAAACAACTATTTATAACCTGCTCCTATATTCCCCCAAATTCTGATATTTCCATATCTAAGAAACAGGCCGCCCTAATTTGTGAAGTGGCCAAGCAGTCGAAATCGTCCGATTTGGTAGTTGTGTTGGGAGATTTCAATTTGCCTTAAGTGACTTGGCGTAACAGTGATAATTCTGGCTAATTCAACATCTGATAGAGCTATTGTGTTCTTTAACGAATTATTTGATCATAATTTAGTTCAATACATCCGTATCCCTAATTGTAATGGTATACTGCTTGATCTCTGCTTTGCCGATTTCCCTGAGATTAGTGTAAATCGTTGTCCACCTTTTAGTTTACCTGAGAATCCTTATCATCCAGCAATGCGCATTTCCTTTCATTACAAGCATGATCGTTCGTTGAACTGTTTTAATGTTCTAAATCCAATTTTCCAAATAAATATTACGATTTTCATAAAATCAATATTGTATTGCTAAAATATCACCTTTCACATATAATGCTTGATTTCTCAATCGAAGATATTGAAAGCTTGTTGTTATCGTTCTACAATACATTAAATCTAGCTATTGCTGCATCTGTTCCGATTAAGTAGTGCCGAGATCGAAGCAGGTGTCCATCGTGGTTTAATAGAACAATTAAATATTACAAGAATAGAAAAAACACGCTATTCAATAAATATTCGAAAAGTGGCCCTGCTCTTCACTATTTCGCTTACTCCGTGGCGAGGCATAGATTTAACTCCCTCAACCACCATTATTACTGCAGATACCTTCAGTTCATTAAATCCTCTCTGTTTGCGAATCCTAAATACTTTTTCAAATTAGCTAACTCTAAAAGAAAAATTTCCGCACATCCCTCGTATGTTTCTTTTAATGGCTCTGATTCCTCGAATGATTTTGAAATCCCAAATCTGTTCGCTGAGTGCTTCCGTCGAAACTATTCGACTGCTAATTCCGATTTATCCGCAAACTACCCATATCCTATAACTAACTTGGTTTCAATTCCTAATTCGGTTATTGCTGAGGATGAGGTTTTTAAAGGCTTCAGCTCTCTAAAATATAGTTGTGCGCCTTAACCTAATGGAATTCGATCATGTGTACTTAAATCTTGCGCTGTCGACTTCTGTTGAGTTATCTCTAAGATTTTTAACCGGTCTCTGAACTTAGGTGTGTTCCCTTTGTATTGGAAGAGTAGTTTCCTTATTCCTATTCACAAAAGTGGAAGTAAACAACTTTTTGGGAACTACAGAGGCATAACCAAATTGAGTGTCTTGCCTAAACTGTTCGAGGGAATCGTGACTCAGCATTTGGCCTTTTCCATTAATTCGTATATTACCCCACACCAGTATGGCTTCGGAAAGGGAGATCTACGGTCACTAATTTGTTAGAGTTTACTTTTCTAGTGGCTCTCGCACAGATGTAATATACACTGATTTAAGCAAAGCGTTTGATTTGGTTAACCATAACTAACTTATTTTTAAACTCCAAGCCTCTGGCTTCCCTTTCTATTTAGAGAAATGGATAAGCTTTTACCTGCACAATAGATCTTTCAGGGTTCTGTTTAACTTCGTCACCTCGGATCAATTCCCCGTGACGTCTGGCGCACCTCAAGGCAGCCAATAAGGTCCTATTTTATTTAGTTTATACATTAATGATCTCCCATCGGTGATTAATTCCAGTCAGATCTTAATGTATGCTAATAATGTGAAACTGTTTTGTTCCTTCTCTCTAGAATCGCAATCACATCAGCTTCAAAGTAACTTGAATAATTTTGTTGCATGGTGCTCTTCAAAATCTTCTGAAACTAAATCTAAGTAAATGTAAGAAGATTTCTTTTTCAAGAAGAAAATCATTCATTATTCAGTATTTCATTGATTCGCATAAGTTGGAGGACGTCGATACGTTCACAGGTTTAGGCGTTCTATTTGACCATAGATTACGTTTCAATTTGCATATTGAGCTCTCGTTAAGCAAAACTAGGTTCGCGCTTGGTTTTATAGAGAGGTGGTCCAAAGAGCTTGATGATCCCTACATAACGAAAAGGCTGTACATGTGTTTGGTTAGACTTATAGTTGAGTATGTCTCTATTGTGTGGTTTCCTTCATATAGGTGCTATATGGATTGAACTGAATCTGTTCAAAACCAATTCTTCCTGTTTGCCCTTAGGAATTTGGGTTGGGATCCGATTGCTTCTCTTCCCCCCTATGAAAATTGGTTGCTTCTGTTCTCCTTACCGTCTCTCGAGAAATGTAGGTTTGTTCTTGGCGTTTCCTTCGTAACCAAAGTAATAAATGGTGCTATCGACTTGCCTGCATTACTTGGTGAATTAAGCTTTAATGTCCCAAACCGCTTCTCTAAGCACTTGATCTTGGTTAAGCTTAGTCAATGTAAATATAATTATGAGTTGTTTAGCCCGGTCAGAGTTGTTTGCAAGAACCTATGTAATGTCTTTCAATTATTCTCATTATTTGACCCTTTAAAGTCCATTAAAGCAACATTGCTTAATAGGCGTAATTTACCTATGTCGTACCTAAAAGAGCTCTTAACCTTAAAAAGTCATTATGAGTCGAAAATTCATTGTTGTTAACTACTATCGGTTGCCAAGCTTATGCATGTTTGCGATGACTTAGGGATTCATTTACAATTTGGTCCTGTACTGGTTATGGGTGTGGCTCTATGCTAGTTTTGCACATGCTTTTTTTTTTCCTTCTTATTTGTTTTATTATACTTATACTAAGTTTTAATATTAATTAATTTAAGATCTGCTTTGAACTCAATTGAACTCGACTGTCAAAATTTTTAGTTGAGTTTCTTGTATTAGTGAAATAAATAAATAAATACATAAATAATGCACAAGCGTGTGTGCGGAAATAGTTAGATGTGTTTGCATTAAATGATATCGCGTACATACGCACGGTTGGGTTACGTCTTATCAGAATCTTGTCGAGAATATGTTTTCTAAAAAGTTACAACACTTTCTGAAAAAGTTATTTTGATAGTTAAAAACAATACCAGATGGCGTTGTCTGCACTAGGCCACATTCGAACACGGTTTAAACAAGTTCGTTAAAGGATGCTGTTTTCGCTTCATAGAGACAGTGTTGTTACTTTAGGTAGGTTCATTGACAATTTCGCTCACATTATAATAGAAAGCATAAACGCTTCCAATCTATCAAAATGGGAAAGAAGTAAGACGCACTTGTGTGTGTGATATGCGATTCAACATTTCACTACTGAAGCGAAGAAAAATAACTAATTTGCCATCCAAAAGAGAAAATGGTTTCCATCGTTTTATTTGTATTTTAAAAAGCCGATGACAATACTGCTTGATGCCGTTTGACTGAACTATTAACACTTTGCAGCCAATACAGCCATAGTGGAGGCTTTCGCAAGTCGTCGTAGAAGTTAGGGACGCTAGTTTGGCGGCATGATGTCATTACGACGAGGAGAGTTGAGTTTTGTTTTGTACACATTTAACATTTGAAGACATTTTTTATGTGTTATAAATATTATTAAGTATAACAAATGAGGCTGAAAAAGTGCTGCGCTCTTCAGTATTTATATAAGTACGTTACACCCCTAAGGAAGCAAAAGCTCCGAAAATCTAAATTTGCTTCGAGTAGCCGGTGTGATAATTTTCGGACGAGTAATAATATTTTGCGAGTTGAATGGCGCTGCGGCTAATCTGAGGAACACTATTGCGAATAATTAAAGTAAAATAGCAAAAATTTGTAAGCAAGTACAATTATATGTGGCCCATATTTCTTTAAACGCGACTGTATTTCATTGTTGGTCCCGATGACCTAAGTTTTACACCCTAAAGCTTTGCTTAGGGCTTAGTTAATTTCTAATATTAATTTATTTAAGTTTTAAGATACCATAAGTATTAGCCTTTTACTCCAACATTTGTGGTTTAGTGGTTTCTGTATGTAATGTACACTGGTTAAAAATGCCTACCAGATGCTTGAAACGTATTGAGCGTTTAATATTTCGTTTCGTTCATTTGGTCTCAGTAATTTTTTGGTCTTATATAAAATATTATGAATTAATTAAATTGTTTATTTTTCAGTAATGAATGATTATCGTAATGGTCTTCCAAAGTTGGCGACTTTGCGGAGTGACAGCAACAATTGTCGTTTATATTGGTGGCGTGTTGTTCTTAACGATGAACAATGTTCCAGGGTCGCATCCAAAGCGTGTTCGATTCGAACATTTCGCAGAGGTACCTTGACTTACTTGAACATTCTTCACACTTAACACCTGTTTTTTCAAGAGTGTTTCGAAAATCTTTAATGATTATCAAATTTTCGCAAGGAATTCGTAAGTGCTCCTCTTTAGTTAATTAGGAGATATGCGTTAATGTATTGCACGGACTGCTTTTACGCCATTTTGAAAAATGTATTTAGACATGTCATTTCTAAAACCTCTTTCAAAGTCTCGTATTTTAACGAAATGAAAGTCTATGTTACGTTTCTTGTTATGCATTTGAACCAAAATTAAACACAGAAGTTGATTGTTGGCAGCTTCTGAATATCCGGTTTATATGCGAAGATATATAGCGTAATTCTAGAAAAATTCTAGCCATACAAACGAAAGTGTTGATAAAGGATCACATGGGAAAGCTTTTTTTTCTTCTACTTATTAACGAACAGCAATTATATAATCTTATTTGTCATTAGTAATCTCAGCATAGGAGGGCTAGTATTAGTTATACCAGTGCTATACATACAAGCAAAACCAAAAATTTGGTGATATTCACGATATTTAACGGTTAATCTAACCCACGTGGATCCGATATGTTCAAATTGCGCTAATAAACAATTTACTTTCATATATTTTTAAAAGGGAAGCTTGTTTTTCAAGAGGATATGTACAGTTCTAAGGTTTGATTCGCAACCTCTATATCTGGTTTGGGTGTATTTTCTTATTATTTTCTATTACAATGTACTGTAGCAAAACTCAAGGTTGCTTTTCTAAGCGTGAGAGTTACTTTAAAATTGCAAGTTCAGATTTTTTGATATAATTTTAAACCAGCTCGCTTTAGGCTGTTTCCCCTTTTCGATTTTCGACAACTTCTAACATATGTCTGCAAGTCTTACTATATTTGCCGAGCCTTGGACTTTTTAAATTAATATATATATTCTTTATGAACAAAATGAGTTTCAGTTTTTTACCTTAAGTTAAAGAAAATCGGCAACAAAGATAACATTGATAAGAATTTCTCAGTATTTCAAAGCATACGAGTCCACTTGTCGGTAATGTTTTCAAAAATAAGTGAATTCAGTATAAAATAAATTAATTTATAGTCCTAGTTTTGTCATTCAGATTTATGTATGAAAACAAATTAATTTAATTGAAGATGGAAAGATAGTGTGACCTTTTATATTTGTGTCTATTGTGTTCTTTAGTTTTCTAATTACCGAAGTCAGAGGGTTTCTGGTCTTAATCGAAAGATGACTATTAGATGGTGCAAAGAACTAAAATACATGCAATCTGAGCTTCCAGTAGACACTACAACATCTGAATATAATAGTATGTACTTTAATTCCATACACTGAAGAATAAAACTATACCTTCAGTCATTGTCCTCTACCAACCATTTTAGCTCCTTATCAAGTCGAGCCGAGAATACAGATGGGATTAACAGCATTGGCTTCATTTCCGGGCAGTGGAAATACGTGGCTGCGGTATTTATTACAACAATCCACAGGTGGGTATGCTGTGCATGTGTTATTTCTTGTGTAAAATTATTTGCTGTGTATTTATAGGCATTTTGACTGGAAGTATATACAAGGATTACGGTTTATTGAAAACGGGCTTCCCAGCTGAAAATGTTTGTAATAATTCAGTATTGTTGGTGAAAACGCATGAATGGGGTCCTAAAGCCTGGGCGTTATTTTCTAAAGCTTTACTTTTAGTGCGAGACCCAGAAAAAGCCATTTTAGCTGAATTTAATCGACAAAGTGGTGGTCATGTGGGTTTCGCATCTCCAGATCGTTACAAGCGAACTAGAGGCAAATGTTCGTATATGTAAAGACATGCATCTTTGGATGTTATTATGCCCTACACTATATATAATGCAGGATATATTAAGTTCTTATGAATGTATGTATTTCGTAAAAGATATTAAGATAGGCTCATTTTTTGTTATAATGATCGCTCAGAATCATTTTTTTAAGTCGATTTAAACCTGTATGCCTGGTTCCACCATTTTTGGACAAGTCCTACATGTACCCTAGTGTGAAAAACTTGAATCGCACGCATCGATTTTTTCATCGCCTTTCTCCATGCGTGGTTTTACGAAAACTTAAGGTTTATATTGCAAACAGATCCAATTTTATATATCTTATGTTGAAAACTTGTCCGTTATTAACTATGTGAAATTTGGCCCACCTTGGCTTAGTTGCTCGATTTCATCAATATAAGGGTTTCCATGAAAATCAAACCTTTATGTCTCAATGAAGTCTAATTTTTAGTTCTTAATCACCTTCTTCTTTATTAAGGGCCACACAATTAAAACGTATTTCCATAGATACAAGTTGTAATTTTCGGTATTTTATCACGAAAATATGCGAACAAATGTATTAAGACAACTGGTGTAGGGTATTTAACGGTCGGTCTTGCTCGACTATAACGTTTATACTTCTGTTATCATAATTCTAGATTGGCAACAATTTGTAGCAAACAAACTGCATGGTTGGGAGCTTATGAATATTAATTGGGCTCGAAATTTCACAGGAAATATAAAAATTATTTTTTATGAAGATTTGGTCAACAAACTCGAACCAGTGTTAAGAAATATATTAGAATTTCTGGAGTTTCCTATTAACGAGGTGTGTATGAAGACAAATTCTTAAAGTCAGGTCTAGCGCCGACTCGGGAGCAAAGTGGAAATGAACTTTAATAAAGAAGTCCAGAGTTACTTTATTTTTTTCTATTATTACATGTTTATTGGCCTTTGAGGACATAAATATAAATAACACAAAACACCTAAATAAAATCCACTACAGGCATGTAAAATGTATGTTAAAAATCAACTAAAATAGTATGTTCTGTCTGTTAATTTTAGGAGTTTTACCGAAACATGAAAGTTGGAGGAAGGAATGAAAACGGTTCCAGCACAGTCTTCGCTAGATTCCAGAAACCAGCTTCTGAATTGGGCGTGATCCGTTCAGAAACATATACGTAATATCCGAAAGATTGAAACAAATTTGTAAAGAAAAAAATTGTGAATATCTTAACTTCAGATATTATACAAAAAATTACAATGTAAAAAAATCTAAAAATTCGATGTTTAAACCGCAAATTAACATAAAGACTTAAGATTTACAAATATTAAATTTCAATCTCCAGTATCTAAGATATGCGCTTAACCGAATGAAAGTTTCTTACACATTATCGTAGCAGCGGTTATTGGGAGAATAATTAGACTACGTGATAACCAGGATGTGTTAAGAGATCAAGGAAGAAGTTAACAGGTTTTTTTTACTAAAAATGGGAACACCTTTTTTTAAGTCTTAATGAAATTTATAAAAATATGAGCCATTTTTATTGATAAACTGCATTTTTTTGTAGTAAAACCATGGGTGCATCAAAATAAAATTTTTCGGATTTCTAGGAACAAAATGGGATAAGCGTCGTTCAAAAGACTTCTTTTGAAGTTAGTAATATATTTGCCTCATTTGACAGAATATTCTGCAGTTGTTTACCATTAAGGGCAGGATAATCCGCAAACAAACATTGTTGGGTAGGTTTAGTTGAGCGTGTCGGATTTGTGAAACATATAGTGCATTTAGACCGATGAGGCAAATGGGCTAAGAGAGTTCTACAGAGAATAAAAGAAATGATAACCGGACGAGGCTTTTATGGTGGATGAGTCGAAACTTTCCAGCCAAGCTATTTGAACTTTTGCCAGCTCATTTGAAATGGTCATGTTGAAAGACTATGCCGTGCTGTTTCGTGGATACTCCATATAGCACGTTTTACTTACTTTTAGTTGTTGACTATAGAGAGTGAAATTTGATCGCCTCGTGAAACACCATTCTCTTTCAAGTTCAACAAATATAAGGCATTGCTTTATGTGGCGTGAGCGCAATTTTTGGTGTTGTTTGTGTAGTTTAATCAATTTTCGACCATGGTCTGTTTTGCATATGATTATCACGTATGACCCACTTTTTGTTGCCCCTTATTAAAAGGGGCTCCATATCGGTTCGTCCCAATAGCGATTTGCAATTAGGAGTTTGATTTCGCTACTACTCCAAGTGATACCCAAATAGAGAAATTCCTCTCCAATTGATCTTATGCAAATGGTTTATAATTGTCGTTGGCCACTGTTTCGTGACGATGTCATAAGGCAAAGTCAGGCGATTTTCTCAGTTTTTTCGCCGATTTAGCAACAATTGATCGAAGTTTACAGAGCGCAAAACTTGAAATGATCATTTGTGTGGATTTTCCCCTCAAACACCATGAACCTTTTAAGCAGCCGGCGAAGCGTTATAATCTTATCCAAAGTAATGTTATAATATATAGCGGATTTTTTCCGCAAATTTGACTCATTGCGATTGCTTTCAAATGAATTAACATGTGTGACAATATCACTTTTTAATTACTTATTAGCTGTCATGACTTCACAGGTTCAGAATTGCAAAAGTGGTGTCAACGCCATGAACTTTTTTCATAACTTAATTTTAACTGCAAATTTCTCATTTATTTTTGAGAAAGGTCAAATTTACGTAAGGTCGATTTCCTTCTGGTGGGATCAGGGCCCTTATTAAATTTTTGAAGTGCACTTCAATGCAATTATATATACATTAATAGTCAAAGCATATATTGATTAAATTTGGGCTTTGCATCTTATTGATAATGGGCTTAGAATGTAAATAGCGGCCACAGTAATAGATGAACGGATAAAGGGGCGGTAAAATCGATCCAGATCTTCAAATAAGTAATATGTTGAGTTATGCGGTCGAAGAGAACAATAATTTTGCATATCCTCACTCTCAAGTGATGGTAATAAAGGAGGGCACGTCAAAAAGTTATTACTACTTCCTGATATTTCTTGCTGGACCTGACTAAATTTTAATGTACTTTTAATATGTTCCCCAGTTGGGGTGTTTATATTTTTTGTTATTTCATGCTCGGAATTTAATTTTTGCTGCATTCATATACATATTGAAATCAAGACCCTTTTGAATTGTGCACTGGTGAGAAAAGAGGGCATCTTCCGAAGAAAAAAGCGTATTTTGTCATTCGATCCTTATACACCAGCAATGAGAGTTCAATTGAGAGAAAAAAAACAGTACGTATATACAATATTGGGACGATTGAGTTGAGATGGGAAAATAATGTGGTGTAATAAATCAAATTGCTGCAATGTAATGTTAGCATAAATCCGTTTTAAAACTCTAATAAATATATATGCAGAGTATTTTACTTACACGTTGGGTAAGTTCAACATATCTACATATCGTTTTTTTATTAAATTATTTTTATTATTATTGTTATTATTATTAGTGATGTTAATTATTTTGATATGTTTGTGCAATTGTTATCATATGTTACGTTTATTTTATTATTACTATTACTACATATCTGATTATTATTATTATTATTATTATCAGTGACGTTATTTATTTTAATATATTTGTGCAATTGTTATCATACATTTTGTTTATGTTATTATTGCTATTATTTCATATCTGGTTATTATTATTATTAGCGATGTTATTTATTTTGATATGTTTGTGCAATTGTTATTGTTTATTGTATTATTACTATTATTTGATATCTGGTTTTTCTTGTCATGCCGCCCAAGCTTACTCACCTAAATGTTTGCCTTAATAGGTAAAGGTAAGAAAAGTTTTAACTCCATAGCAGAACTAATCATTTTATAATTGGCTCATTGTGCGTTACATAAAGCCCACAAACGAAAAGAAATTTGTTAAAATTTGAACTATTTTTCCCTAAACTTTCAGGAGTCGTTCGACGAAATTTAGACTATTTGTTATTTTTTGAGTAAAGGGGATATGATGAAATGATTACAATCGATATTGAACAATACTCGTGAATCGTTGTCATTATATGTTATATTACATTTCCTAGCGATAATAAACATATGTAGGCATATTAAAAACTTTCATATATCCTAAAAACGTACCACATAAACGGCTTGCATATTTTTCACGACGTTAAAAAAGCTACTTCGGCTCGAGTCGAATTTTTAAAATATTAATAGCTTCGTTGAATTTAATTCCAAAATAGAACGATGGTCCCCTATACATAACAAACACTAAAAATTAAACATAATATTTAAATAAATCATTTAATTCATATACAGGCATTTCTTCAAATTGAACCCAGGCCGATTGTTTTTGGCATCGAAAGTTTAATAAGGGAAACCTAAAGAAACATGAAAAGTTTATAAGTAAGGCTTTGAGGTCATAAATTAAGAACGAAAGGATATTGTCGATTATTTGGGAATAGTGTAAAGGCCCGTACACCAAATTCGGGATGTCCGTTATGTAGTATATGTAATAAGTATTTGACGAATTTGTAAGACACATTATTCAATTATTGGGTATAAATTCAAATCTTAACAATTTGACTAATGTAGATAAGCTTATTTTGTCTACTTTTGATAGCATTACGTTGGCTCAGACGCTGTTTTCGTTTGCTGGTACCGTGCGAAGTCATTTTCCAAGGACGTATAACAACGTATTTCGATATTATTGACTAATCTTGGAAAATTTATTACATTATCAGTCGTAATACAATTGATTTATCACCATAAAAATTGTGAGTTGAATTGGGCGCATATAATCTAAGTAACAATATTAATACTAATTTGTAAATTAATTTGTTAAAAAGAAAACAATTTTATTTTTTATTAATAAATAATTTACTAATATTTACTTCGTATATGTACGTAAATATATGATTATAGTGGTGAAATAAAGCACTAACCTAAATTTTCTGAATCCAATAGATATTTATACCTCGACCTGTATTTAGAAATAATATTGTTGATTATCTTAAAATAATGATATAGTATAACTTTTTTGAGAAGCTGGGCAAAGGATCAGAGAAAACTTTTTTATATGCAGTCAATAACTAATTTAAATAATCTGCAACTCTACTAGTGCATGCCCCAGCCGATTCGAACACAGGCAGTGTGAATAATCGAAGATGTGGTGGTGCGACCGATCGATATATTGTGAAAAAATATAAATAAAAATATATTCAAATAAAAAAACACAGATTATATCTGTTGCAAAATAGACCGTATATCTATTAATATCGGATACGATATGCGAATATTAAACATTTGAATGCTATTATTAAATATAAACTGTTATCTACAGGCCAATTACTCCGTAGGGATCATACTCCTGTTGTACTTTTAGATGCACTTGTATAAACATTTCTAAAAATATCTTTCGTAAATTGCAAGTTACACATTTGTAGGCGAATTGCCTCTGCTTTTACATAAGATTTGCAGTCAGCAACTACATTTGACAGTTTTAGCTGCTGTTTTAGCTTCAAAGAAAGTTGGGATAAAATTTTCAATTTTAAAGAAACAAAAAAAGGTTTAATTTTTCACCAAATAAGGAAATCTTTTGATAATGAGTAATATTTTAATCACCTCATCGAAAAATCATTTCATTTTCAGACACCATTTAAAGTTCAAACGACAATCATTGGAGTTATTGTCCTTGCTGTTTTAAAAAACTGTGTATTGACTGAAACGTGTTTTAGGTTTTGAAATGTGTTACGCACATGATATTTTATTATAATAAACTACGCAAATTCAAATTATTTATTTTGTAACCACAAGGTTTATAAATGTCAAATCCGTAGATAGTCACACTGTTTAAGTATTTTGCAAAAACCGATTACTTTCAAAATTAAATTAGGATTCAGTAATTAAACTCATAAATCTATTACAACGTTTGTAAAATAACAGTCATGAATAAAAAGAAGAAATCAATCATTGTTAATATGAATTTATATATTATATAAGGTAATTAATCTTTGTTTAAAGGGACTAAAGCCTTTGCTGAAAGTTCTAAAATTTGACGGAAGATTATTTGAACAGTAAGTATAGGGTACAACAAATTATTATTCACGGACTTTGGTCGTTGTTAAGGAGTGAGAAAACGATTTCGAATAAAAATATGAAAAGCTAAATGAGGTAATCTTGAATTTTATAAAATTTTAAAAAATTTGAGCACCAGCGAATGTACAATAGCCGAGAGGAATATTAAAGATTACCCGCACTAATTTATGGATAGCTGATTATTGCTAAGATTATGTAGATGGAATCCTGTAACCACTTCAATGCTGTGGTTTATTTCTTTTGTTTACCTACGCATGAAACTTAACTAAGGCTAATTAACTTCCGAATTCAATTGACACTTTGAAGTAAATCTTATATTAATTAATCTTAAAAAATAGTACATAATGTCTAAAGAGAAGTAAAGAAAAAAAAAAAAAATTCATGCGTAAATAAACAAGAAGGAAAAAAAAGAAAAAAAAAACATATTCACAACTAGCACAGAGGCACCCCCACAACCAGTACAGAACTAAGTTACAAGTGAACTCCTAAGCTATCGCAAACATGCAAGAGCTTGGCAAGCGATACAGTAACCAACACCAGTTAATTTTTGAATCATGTGAGATGTTAAGACTGCAAATTACTTTAAAAACGACATAGGCAAATCGCACGTATTAAACAAAGTTGCTTTTATAGACTTTATAGATTTCGATATTGAAATTAAGTGATAGACATAATTTAAGTTTCTACAAACAGCTCTGAGCGGATTGAACCGATTATAATCATATTTACATTGACTCAGCTTAATGAAAATGAAATGCCTAGAGGAACCGTTAGGGACATTATAGCTTATCTCACCAAGTAATATGGACAAACCGATAGTATCGTTAATTAACTTAATTAGGAAACACGAAGAGTGAACCTATGTTCCTCAAGTGACGATAAGTATAACAGAAGGAACTTATTTTCATAAGGAGACAGGGTCCAAATCCAAATTACTAAGGGTAATTAGCAAGAATGGCGATTGAACGGGTTAAATTGAATGTACGTAACACTTACAGAAAGAAAGCCGCACAATTGAAGTATACTCAGGTATTGGTCTAACTAATAACAGCTTTTTTGTAATATAAGAATCCTTCAACTCTTTGAACCACCAACAGAAACCTGGAGGAGCTGTGTTATGCAGACAAGAGCTTATCCATTTCATTAAGTTCAAATGGAAACCACAGTCCTGGAGTTTGAAGATCAATAAGTTAGCTAAGTCAAACGCTTTGCTGAAATCAACATATGCGACAACTGTGCGAGAGCTACTACAAAACGCCTTGAAAACAAGGCACGTAAACTCTAAAAGGTTCGTAACAGTTGATCTTTCTTTTAGGGTGCCATGCTGGAATCGAGAAATATAAGATTTGCTAACAAAAGCTAAATACTGAGTAATAATTCGCTTAAGAAATTTAGGCTACTTGGTGATGCTTCTATAGTTTTCAAAGCAATGTTTGTTTTCACATTTGTAAAGTGGAATAAGGAAACCACCCCTCCAACAAAAAGGGAAAACAACTGATTTGAAGGGTTGATTAAAAATCTTCGAAACAACATCACTTAGCTCGGCATAGCATGGCTTGAGTAAACATGATGAAATGCCATCAGGCCCAAGCGCACGACTACATTTTAGAGACCTTAAAGTATGTCACCGTTTTCTGAAATGACTGAGTGAGCAATCGAACTCGACTCAGTTATCGAATATGGATAGTTAACACTTAAATCGGAATTTGCAGTTAAAAAATTTCATCTGAAGTATTCAGCAAAAAATTTGAAATATTAATATCATCAGAGCACTCAGAGCCATTGAAAGAAACATGCGAGGGATATATGAGGATTTTTCTTTATGTTTCTTATAAAAACATTTAAGATTAGCAAGCAGTGAGGATTTTATCAATTGAAGGTATCTGCAATAACATTGGTGGTATAGTTAATTAAATTTATGGATTGCAGCAGAATAGGCGAAATAGTTATATATGGAAGCGCCACTTTTCAAAAATTTTTTGAAAAGTTTGTTTTTCCTACTTGTGTAATATTTAATACCCTTGGTTAACCATGGCGGGCACATACTTCGAGGGCGAGGCTGCTTGATTGGAACGGATGCAGGAATAGCTACGTTTAATACATTATAAAACAATTATAATAGGATTTCAATATTTCCAGCGTTAAAATCAAACATAATGTGTCAAATATCAGATTTAAGCAATAGCATATTGGTTTTATTGAAATCATCATGCCTGTTTGAGGAAGTTGGATCTGACACATTATAATGGCTTAACGGACCATCATGCCTGTAAAGACCTGCAAGTCGCTGGTTGATACGGATAATTAGATGAACTAGAAGGTGGACAGCGATTTACCGCTATCTCCGCGAAATTGGTAAAGCAAAGATCTAGCGGTCTGCCATTACTATTAGAAGTACGGTTAAGTTGAAGCAAAATACGATCAAATAATTCATTGAAAAACACAGTAGTTCTATCAGAAGTTGAAATAGGGACCAAACAGTCAGAATTTTCATTACAACACCGAGTGACTTGTGGCAAATAGAAGTCCCTCAACGCTATAGCTATATTAGCAGGTTTAGACTTTTCGGGCGCATTATAAATGAGGACGGCATGTTTCCTTATAAATAGAGATATCCTTATTTTAAAGAATAGAGAATAGAGATGTCCTTATAGGGGCGAATTGCATATAATTGTTTAGTGCCAATTTTTGCTTAAATGCCAATAAATTCAACATCGGAAGGAGTAGGAAATTCAAATGAATAAGACGTGACGGCAGCAGATATGGCAATTTAAACACCGTCATCGCTGCGATCTAATTGATCCTTTCTGAAAACCTGGAAAGAATTGTGAAAAAGCTTCGACGAATGTAAATTAAGCTTTAACCAGATTTCAGTGGGAGCCAAACAGGAAAATTCCATGCTCACTGAATTTAAGTCAGGTTTTAGCTAGGTTTCAGTGAGAACCCAGCGGAAAAGTTTCGTAGTCACTGAATTTAGGAAATTCAAGTGAGTTTTTTAGTTTAGGCCGCTAACATTATGGTAAATAAAAGTTACTGGCTCTGAAGAATCATTTAGTTTTTTGAGCGTGGAAGAACTTCCAAATTAGTATTATGGCAATTATCCTGTGGAGTGAATTCCTTTATTAAGAATTGAATTGACTGCGATGGTTTATTTAACAAAATTTCTATATTTTCAGTCGGAACTAATACCTTAAAAGATGAGATAGCTCTATCTTGAAATGGAGCCAACTTGAAAATATCAATAGACTTTAAGCAAGATAACTTTTATGTTATGCTTAGAAGTATCAGGTGCAAGTCTTGACACGAATATTGACTTTCTGTCAAGATACGGGCCCATTCGGGTGAAACAAGGAAATGGTGCGCTGACGATTCAAAATTGGAAAATGGCAAAACTGAGGGTGGAGTTTGTGGCCCGAGTTTTCAGACGGACATACCAAGGGGCTACAGTTCTTCCGTATTCCAAGGAGAAGTCCTTGCAATCGCCGCGGTAGTGCGACAGAAAACTGAACAGCGTTTACTCCGGCGGTGAAGTCGTTCTTAAAATCACAACGTACAAACCTTCAAATACTCATGAACTAGGCAGACGCAATGTCGTGCACCTAATATGGATGCCTGGCCATTCGGGTGTTGACGGCAAGGAAAAGGCTGACAGTCTAACCGAGGGACCTTGATAGGTCCTGGACCTTGTGGCGTACCAAGACACTATATTAATTAGTTGGTACCGCAATGAGCACGGAAAATATGGGAATACCATTGGAAGCAATGCACAGGAGAACCCTCAATAACCTCAGATACCATCTGGAAAACGTGGGCACATGCGATACCGTAGATTCCACTAAGAGACGAATGAGACGTCCCACGATATTCTATGTGATTGTGAGGCCATCTGTAGAATTCAACACCATGCGTTTGGCGAGCATTTCATAACGCCAGACAAAGCATGGTGGTCTCAATCAAAGAAGGTGGCGGAATTCATAAGATTCGTAAAACTGGAGGGGTAGGCGAACGAGCGAGTACAATAGTTCTTCGAACTCGCGTAACGGATTGCCCACGGAACTAATAACAATAGTAGTAAAGCTAAAGAGATTATAAATAATGTTAGAAGTTATTTTGTTTAAAGTAT